TCAAAACCCCGGACCCAAACCCTATACAATTTCTATAAACCTTGAACCGCGCAGCGCGCGGCTTAGTACGTTTGGGGCTCAGGGTCTCGAGTGCAGGGCGTGGGTCCATGGACCTCGAACCTCCCTGAATTAGGGTTTTAGGGTTTGGGGTTTAGGGTTTAGGGTTAAGGGTTCAGGGTTCAGGGTTGAGGGTTGAGGGTTTAGGGTTTAGGGAACCCCTGTTTGGGGTTTAGAAACCCTCAACCCTCAACCGTCGGTTTAGGGTGTAGGGTTCCGAGCTTAGGGCCTAAACTCATAAAGCGATAGAAACAAACGGTTTAGGATCTAAACACTAAACTCTAGGGTTTAGGGTTCAGGGTTTAGGGTTTAGGGTTTAGGGTTTAGGGTTTAGGGTTTAGGGTTTAGGGTTTAGGGTTTAGCGTTTAGAATTGGGGGTCATTAGATCTCAGTAAATCCCTGACTGGCCCAGGAGCATGCCAGGCAGTCCATGCACCAACTGCTTGCCCGTCATGCGCTCCTTGTTCGCCTGAAGATGCATATCGGTTTCGGGCCCCCTAAACCCTAAACCCTAAACCCGACGGCATATGGTTCAGGGCTTAAGGCCATTTTGGGCTTAGGGTTTCGCGCATTGGGGTTTGGGTTTGGCGCAGCCGCTACTGAACCCCATGCCGAACCGGCATGGAGGGGATCTGCTCCGAGCTACTTGCCTTTGCGACGTGGCTACGACGCCGTCCTTCAACTTCCAGATCTCTGAATGCGGTTTAGGAGCCAGGGATCTGACATACAAGAGAGGGCTCGAGTCATTCGAGGTCGGTTGAGATTAGCAAACCCTAATGCTCTAACGTCCCAGACCCCAAGCACTAACAAATACTGAAACCCTAGACCCAGAACCTCAAACCCCAACCTCGAAGAAAGGCTAAACCCAAAACGCCGAACCTGAAATCTAAACCCACAAACCTCAAATCCTGAACCCTCAATCCTACGTTTCTCCTTGGTCAGGGCACCTAACAACATACAGGCCACAGTGTTTACGATGGGGTTTGCGGGATGGTTTATGCCAACACTACAAGCACAGCTTTAGAGGAACTAGACGGGGATAATGGACTGATTATTCTGACCTCTGTATTCATTTTCTGACACCAGATTCTTTTCCCCAAGACGATTTGGGAGAACAAAGACCAAAACCCTAAACCCCAAAACCCCAAACCCCCTAAAAACCCTAATCCACCTGAACCCTAAACCCTTAGCCCCAAAACCCTAAACCCTAAACCCTAAATCCTAAACCACCTAAAATCCTAAACCCATAAACCCTAAACCCTAAACCCTAAACCCCCTAAAATCCTAAACCCATAAGCCCTAAACCCCCTAAAATCCTAAACCCATAAACCCTAAACCCTAAATCCTAAACCCTCAACCCCAAAGCTCCGTTCCCGGGTCCCGTCCTCCAGAATCTTCTTGAAGGGATCCTCCTTCTCGATCTGGCCTCCCTGATCCTTTCGAGGGTTTTTGGGCTTTTTGGTTTAGGGTTTAGGGTTTAGGGTTTAGGGTTTAGGGTTTAGGGTTTTGGGTTTGGGTAGTGTCAGAGGATTCTTAAACGGTGGTTTTGGGTTGAGTGTTGAAGGGTTAGGGCCCTTTTTTCAGTATTTGGGTTTTGGATCTGAGCCCTAAACCCATGTTCGATTCCCTAAACCCTAAACGCTAAACCCTAAACCCCTAAACCCTAAACCCTAAACCCTAAACCCTAAACTCCTAAACCCTAAACCCTAAACCCTAAACCCTAAACCTTTAAGGTTAGGCTGCAGGATTAGGGCTGATTTAGTACAGCTGCGCCAGCGACCTTCGACCCGTCATAACGACGATCCTCAAAGAATGGGTTCCACCAGCATAAACGGTCTTGTGGCCGCCCAAAACCCTAAACCCTAAACCCTAAACCCTCAACCCAAACCCTCAACCCTCAACCCTCAACCCTCAACCCTAAACCCTCAACCCTCAACCCTAAACCCTAAACCCTCAACCGTAAACCCTAAACCCTAAACCCTAAACCCCAGAACTTTCGGGTGACCCAGTCAATTTCCGGTGCTCGGGGGCCCGGTCAGCTTCTGGCGTAGGGCGTGAAGCGACCCGGCCAGCTTCAACTTCCGAAAGTTGCGGTTTAGGGTTTAGGGTT